TCTAAAGTCCAGGTGAACTTTCTATAGTCCAGGTGAACTTTCTATAGGAGGAAAGACCAAAAAAAAAAACCCACAAGATAAAAATAATTATAAATAGAAACAGGTTGAGTAGAGGAAGTAACAGCAGCAGAGTGAGAACATGTGGTCAATTTGTCCTCCAGCAGTCTAAGCCTATAGCAGCAATACTAAGGGATAGCTCAGGAAACCCAAGCCAACCATAACTATAGGATTTATCAAAAAGGAAAGTCTTCAAACTGGACAAGGTGTCCGCCTCACGGACAGAAACTGGAAGTTGGTTCCACAAGAGAGGAGCCTGAGAACTGAAAGATCTTCCTCCCATTCTGCTTTTTGGAAACTCTAGGAACCACAAGTAAACCTGCAGCCTGAGAGCGAAGTGTAATCTGTAATACAAGATGGAGCTAGGTTGTTGAGAGCTTTGTAGGTTAGAAGATTTTGAATTCTATTCTGGATTTGACAGGGAGCCAATGGCGAGAAGCTAAAACTGGAGAGATATGATCTCTCCCAGTAACTCCAGTTAAGACTCAGGCAACTGAAGACGTTTTAAAGACGTATTTGGACACCCAGATAATAAACCATTGCAGTAGTCCAGCCTGGACGTCTCAGTGCAGTAAATACATTTTGCACCCCATCATTTTATTTTTTTATTCATATCCCAGCCATCGTTTGGACTTGTGTGTGACATCAGCCCGGACGATCAGTTTCACTCTTTTTTTATATCTGCTCATCTATCTCTTTTGTTTCTGCTCTGCCAGATTCCTTCTGCAACTTGGACATCCCCATCATCGACGTGGACCTGGACGGTATCTTGGACTTGACGCACATCTCTCCCTACAGGAACTCAGAGGCGCAGCTCGAGTGGAACAACGGCGGAATGGACTCCGAGGAGGATTCTGAGAGCACGGTGTTATGACGCCTCTGAGTTTCTGCTGTTTGAACAACCGTCACTCATTCATTCATCCATCTGGATCTCTTCAGCCTCAACGCCCGCTCTGGATCTCCTCATTAAACTCCACCCGTACTCGATCCAGACGGGTCGATGTGTGCAAACAAGCGCCTCTAACAAAAAATTATAACGAACAAACAAATGACGTTTCATTCTTTGTGCAACCTGCATTTTTATTTTTTTTTTGCATTTACATTTTGTGATGTTTTTGATTTTCTTTGCCTTATTTGATTCACATGCAGTATAGCCTTTAATGTCACAGGTGGGACTGGAAACAGGCTGCCAGGAGAAGTTGGAGTTCTTCTGCTGCTGGGTCTGAAGGAACTGCAGAAGAACCAACAGCACAGAACCATCCGTCATTGTCTTACTGCTCATCTCCCGTCACGACTTCCTCCTTCACTCCTCAGGGGAGTCGCTCTGGTTTACGGTGGCCCCGAGTTTCTGTCCAGCCTGAGCGTTCACTGTGAGTGTGCAAGTACGTCCGTTTTTGGAAAGTGCGTGCGTTTTTAAAATGTGTGGCGTCTTGCTTAATGTGATAATTGTACTAAATGATGCACTGTCGGTGTCGTGGAGCAAACAGCAGGAATGCATTGTTTTAGAAGTAGAGGAGGATATGAACTTTTAAGGTTATAAAGAGGTTGAAAGTTTAAACACACCTTTCTCTAAAACTACATTCAGTCAGGATATCAGCCACTGGATATTTATGGTTTTATACTGTACATTTTCAAAGTATATGGTAAGATTAAAGATCTAAATAAATCATATTTTGTATTCAGAGGAGCGTTATGAGGAGGAGTTTTTCTGCTGTCAGGGAGAAATACATTACGAGATGCATACTGTAGTTTATAAAAGATCTGTGGAGTTAATCGTTTATTTTGGGGGAGTTGCAGCAATGCAGGCTGTGCGGGATTTTTCAGTTTCCAAACCGTTGAGAGAATAAGAACGTTCAGGTTTGGTGACTTGAAGCCTGGAAAACGGATCCTCAACATTTGTTGAAAGCTAAAATACTAAAATGTTGACGGTCCCAGGCCCAAATGAGACAAACCTGTTCAAACATTAAGAATCATACTTAGTAAACTATCCTTTTGTGCTGCAGTTCTGTCATATCACAAGTCAGACAGATTTAACAGAAAATATGTGCTAAGTTTGAATAAATAAGCCAGTTTTGAATGACAGTGCCATTTTATTTTCAGCCAAGTCTGTGTTACAATTTATAGAAACGTCTGGCCCGGATTCACCAAAGGTTTGTGCAGAACAAATTAGGATTTTTCTGTCTAATTCTCAAAGCGGTCACAAAGGGAGATGTGTGCCTCAAAGTGGGCTGCCAACCAAACACAGTCTCTCCTCACTGATGCAGTTTGCCAACATTTAAATGAGGTTTTATTTCTTTAGAGTAAGTGGTAAAATTGACCAAGTTTATGTTAATGTCTCCCTGTGACGGACTTGCGACCCGTCCAGGGTGAACCCCGCCCCTCGCACAGTGATTGCTGGACATGGGCACCGGCGACCCCCGTGACCCAAAATGGAAGAAGTGGGTAAAAGATAATGGATGGATGTTAATGTCGGGGCTAAAAGTGCTTGATTCTTAAAGTCCTGATCCTGGGTTCAATCCTCTGGTTGGACCTGGGGTCTTTCTGTGTGCAGTTCCCATGTTCTCCCGGTTTCTGGTACTCCGGTTTCTTCCCACAGTCCAAAATAAAATGTGAACATTAGCTGCTTTCAGGTCCAGGCCTCCCTTGCAAGAGATCTGTGATCACACTGGGATCTGCCTGTTTAAATAAAGATTAATAAATAAATAAAGACCAGCGCTGTTTGCAACACGCAGTTAGCATGACGTAGAATTCACCACCTCTTTCACTGATCAACAGGTAAAACCAAAAAAGGTGCATAAAATCCCATTTTGTTTATTTTACATTCAGATCATAAACTTGTAGTTGTAGGACATTTCAGCAGGTAGTACTCCACAACTAGAGGATAAATTAAAACGATGGTCCGATGATGAGCAACGTGGGAGGCAAGCATCCATTTGTCTGGAATGGAAACCCAGATAAAGATTTTTAATTTATTAAGTGAAAATAAGAGGATGCACTGATGATCAAAGAAGCACAAAATGTCACTAACGGACGTAGTAAAGCCGTCCTGAATGCAATCTCTCCAATAAAAGGAGACGTTCGTACAGCTTTGCCTCTGAGCATCGATCTGGAGCAGCCAGCAGGTGCAAATAACGTGCAGAGTTGAGCCAAAACCAGCTGCTGTGCACGTTTAGTGAATCCGGGCCTCTGTCTTCTGATGCTGATTTTTTGTGGGTCTATATGATACTAAAGGCAAGTGCAAATATATGTGTATATTAGTTTATTTTGATGAGAGTATTTATATGGATATATTTCTGAGTACTTGGAGTCGTGATGTTTCCGCACAGTTTTTGTCTCGATTGTTTAAAAGTATTCAGACGCAGGACGTGTTCCTGCTGCCACGTTGGAACAGCTTTTGTCTTAGAGAAAACTTGAAAACGACGAGGTTTGCGTTCGACGGCAGCATCGTTCGCCTTGTGGGTGGTTGAGACCCATCCAGACCTGGAGGACCTCTTTCTTTTTTTAAGTCCTGAGAACATCCACTTGCTGCTCTGCCGTCGTCTCTCTGCAAGTGCGATATTCCTCACAGGACTTTTGTACATCTTGAAACCTCTGTACATATTTGTTCTGTATATACTAACAACGAGAAGATTCAATATATATCTTAAAGGCTATATACGGATACTGTAAAGAAAAGTAAACGATCACAAACATGCTGTACATAAATGTTGGTGGCTGTAGCACAATAATGTCACGTTCACACAGAACAGCGTGGGCTCTACATCAAACGTAGTTTACAGGTTTCTTTTTTTAATTTAACAGTTTATGAATCTTGCATTGCAGATTTTCTGCCCTTTGAGTTCATCTCAGTCCTGTTTATAGATTTATAATCAGGATAAAAATGCATTTTGACCATTTAGACGCTTGTTCAAACGTGTCATTGCAGCCTCGCGAGATTAAACTGTAAATTCAAGATTGTTTCACACAATTTCTGGCATATTTATTATTTCTGAATGTGTGAAAATATGAGACTTGTTTAGGTTCACACATTTACGAGTTCTGGATGGTGATGCGTTTCACACAGGTAACAGATTCAAGGCAAAGCCATAATTTAAAGGAGGGGACGGTCATGATAAATACAGATTTAGTGGTGGTATATTTTGTTCAAAGGGGTGTAATGGTACATGCATTTCATCACAGTAAAGACGTCAGGGTCCGGAGCGTGCAGTCAGACAAAGAACACATCAGACAAGCATCCGGCGCTCGTCTTTCAAGCCCTGCCTGCTAACTGCCATTAAAGACGAGGAAGACTCTAAAGCACTCCACACAAACGCAAAGCAACCAAGTCATGTGGGTCATGTCATTAAACGGGCTTTGAAACCATAAACTGTAGAGCACAGACCTCGGACCCAAACCAAGAAGTTGAAGCCAGAACAGAACCAGTTTCCTTGTCAGCTGGTTTCAGATCCCCCACTTTATGTAAACCAGTTAATGTTGCCTTTGTTAAAATTTTAAAAAGCACCGCATTCTTTTATTTACATTGTTGACTCTTGTTGATTCATGTTCAAACTTTAATTAGCTGTAATTAGGTAACGTCTAAAATAAAGCTCGTGCGACTAGGCCTGTCACGATAACACATTTTGCTGGGCGATTAATCGTCTCAGAAATTATTGCGATAAACGATAATATTGTTTGAACTTTGAAAATAATAAGTTATTATTGTCAAATGTTTGTTAATTTGTTTTGTATACATTTTTTGACCATCAGATGGCAGTATAAGACTGTCTGAATGAAGGATGGATAGTGAGGGAGCGAGCAGTGTGTCTCTTTAAGACAAATGGGAGGGAGGCCCCTTGACGTGACATGGGCTGTCTTTCTTCGGTTCTCAAAATGGTGGACGTTCGGTGTGGTTTGAGCTCTTTAGCATTTTTCACACAAAGCTTTTAATTAAAAAAAATCTGTAAACAAGTTCTCAGCTTCTTTTTGCAGAGAAAAACAACTTTTTACACGAAGACACGAGTTTCAACCATGAATTTTGGAGCTTCGACAAGACGGAGGTTTATTCCCCGAGGTCGGCCTGTTAGCTTAGCTCGTAGCTTAGATTCTCAACTTGGCTGCTTTTAACGATCCAAAAACGCGATATTGGACGGTTAAAACGGATTTTAAAGAGAAAGGGAGGGGTCAGTGAAGAACCGGAGTTGAGCCTTTTGTCGTCCAGTGTCTTCAGTAGAAAGAGACGAAGAAACGATGAAGCCGATAAATGAAAATGAGGTCGATAATTTTCATTCATCATACGATTAATTGATTTATTGTTTATTGTGACAGGCCTACTTGTGACACCATGGTTGTGTGTGTAGGGGGGGGGAAGTAGGCGGGACTTAAAGCCCCACAACACTAACGCGCAGAAGCTAGTTCCAACAATAAAACAACATGGCCGTTTCAGTAAAATGGTTCCTGCTGTCTTCAGTGGGCTCTTCGCACGTCAACTTCCGTGTTCGGGGATAAGCGGCTGGGTCACTTCCGTGGGAACAGTCGTTCTCTTAGTATACGTTTATGTTTATGTTTAAGTTTAGAACTAATTAGTATGGAAAGTCAAATAGATCAAAATGCTTTTGTATGGAAAGCCAAACGGATTATATTTTAGCTGCTTTGTCTTCTTGCATAACTACTGGACCATGATTTATGTGTACCATTACACCTCCACTTGTTAAATCAAATTAAATACACATTTAAATGTGATAACTGGTACTGAGACGTTGAATCAGTAAATACAAAAACTAAATTTTAAATCAAACTGAACGAGATTCACGACAAGTGAAAATTTGCTGCTTTTACTGAACCGTGTGACGGCAAACAAATTTTAACAATATATCACATTCATCAAGGAAATATTAACAACAAAAACATATTTTCAAAGGTGACGTTTTAATTTTAAATAATTTCCATCAGTTGTTTACAGTTTTTTGGACCAGTCTCACTCCTGATGAGTTTGAGTGAATGCTGCATGAATTTATTTTATTTTAGGGGAAAATAAAAGAGAAAAGCTCCAATTTTAAAGATAATTTTTTTGTTCGGTTGTGCTGCGGTGAACGACGTCTTTGTCTGGATCTGCGTTACAACGTGCCGCTCCGCGTTTTGTACCGATACCAAACTTTGGATCCGTGAACGTTTCCAGTTTTGCTGCTTCTTCAAGCGTGTTCTCTGAAACCGAAGCCTTTTCTACAGGAACAGGAGGAATGTACCGCCGACGCTACATCACTGGTTGTGGCGGAGGCGTCAGTGTTGATGCATCATCCGTTTACTTTTGTTGTATCATATAATCCACTTTTTTAAGTTTAGGGAATAAAAAGAGCAAATTAAACTCAAATAAAATCCTACAAACTAACGCTGTTGAATGCACCGACTAACAAGTGAGCATTGTGTTGTGCATGCTGTCACTGCAGCCATGTCCTTCTGTTGTCGCGGTTCTTTCAGGTTCTGGGGCCAAAGTTAAAGGGAAAACATTTGATCAATAAACCCTTAAAAAGTTATTTGTGTCAAACTGTTGTAATGATGATGGAATAAAAAGGAAATGCCTTCTTTTGTTTTCTTTTAGTTTTTTTAGACAAACGATCCCTCGGTCATCAAGTGGAATACCGTGTAAGATGAAAATAATTCGTAATAAATCCTCATTCGAATGTTGAAACTATTAAACATGTTTTTATATTATTCTGATGTGCGTTTGTTTTTGTTGCCAACGATCATCCAGAACAAAGAAAAGGACGAATATGTTGGGGGGGGGTCGTGGACACATTCAGTCTCAGTCAAAGCTCGAGTTAAAACCACATTCTGCAGAAGAAGAAAACATTTAGGTTCAATGTGTGAGAAAAATCTAAATGTAGCTAAATGCAGAACCCCTAAAAACTATCGGCTCTGGTCATTAAATATACAGAAACATCTCGTCCATCAAATGTTTAAACGTGAGATTTTAAGGGCTGAAAAACAGTTGAAGTTGTAAAAGTTGTTTCGTTTAAAATGGACGTCTTTAAGCTGAGGCGAACTAAAGTTTAACATCCAGAATGTGAAAACAACACGAGGAGCTCTTACCGTTCACTTTTTATTCACAAAGTTAAAGGGAGGAGAGGATGGACCTCAGGTTGATCTGTCCTGTAAAGTAATGACTTTATTAATTTCATAATTAATCATACTGTTAAGGAGAATGTGTCTTACCGAACTCGATGTTGATTTTTAAGGGAAGCTTGTACAACTGCAGGTACTGATGAGGACTGAGAAGTTCATCTCGACCCAAAAGCTTCTTTAACGTCTTTTCAGGGATGATGAGATCTGGAGCGTCGTCCAACACGGACCCAGGAAGAACCTTAAAATACAATCAGCTAAACGTTCACCCCCCCCTTACAGAAACAGGAGCTTTTATTGTTTATCCCGTGACAAACGAAACGGGTGGAATGTTCTGGGTTGGAGGCGAGGAGTTAAAGCAGTTTGGAGTCTTGTTTATAAGTGATGGGCTGACAAAACGAGGCTTTCTCTGCAGTAAAGAGGGGCTTGCTCCGGTCTGTTGAAGTGAAGAAAAGGCCAGGCCACAAGGTAAAGCTCTCAAATTACTTGTTCGTCTACGTTCAAAACCTTACCTAGAGTCAAGAGGTCTACATTAGGAATAAAAGAACGAGAGCTTGGATACAAGCAGCTGAAATGAGCTTCCTCTAGGTCAGGGCAGATGGATACGAACAATCGGCTAATACAGGTGCTGGTCATAAAATTAGAATATCGTGAAAAAATTGATTTAATGTTGATCATTATAATTGACAACTAATGAAAACCCCAAATTCAGTATCTCAGAAAATTAGAATATTGTGAAAAGGTTCAATACTGAAGAGACCTGGTGTCGCACTCTAATCAGCTGATTAACTCAAAACACCTGCAAAGGGTTTAAATGGTCTCAGTCTAGTTCTGTAGACTACTCAATCATGGAGAAGACTGCTGACTGGACAGTTGTCCAAAGGACGACCACTGACACCTTGCACAAGGAGGGCAAGACATAAAAGGTAATTGCTAAAGAGGCTGGCTGTTCACAGAGCTCTGTGTCCAAGCACATTAATAGAGAGACAAAGGGAAGGAAAAGATGTAGAAAAAAGTTTACAAGCAATAGGGATAACCACATCCTGGAGAGAATGGTGAAACAAAACCCATTCCAAATTGTGGGGAACATTCACAAAGAGTGGACTACAGCTGGAGTCAGTGCTTCAAGAACCACCACGCTCAGAAGTATGCAAGACATGGGTTTCAGCTGTCACATTCCTTGTGTCAAGCCACTCTTGAACAAGAGACAGCGTCAGAAGTGTCTCGCCTGGGACTGCTGCTGAGTGGTCCAAAGTTCTGTTCTCTAATGAAAGTACATTTTGCATTTCCTTTGTAAATCAAGGTCCCAGAGTCTGGAGGAAGAGAGGAGAGGCACAGAATCCACGTTGCTTAAGGTCCAGTGTCAAGTTTCCACAGTCAGTGATGGTTTGGGGTGCCATGTCATCTGCTGGTGTTGGTCCACTGTGTTTTCTGAGGTCCAAGGTCAACACAGCATCTACCAGGAAGTTTTAGAGAACTTCATGCTTCCTGCTGCTGATCAACTTTATGGAGATGCAGAGTTCATTTTCCAACAGGACTTGGCACCTGCACACAGTGCCAGAGCTACCAGTACCTGGTTTAAAGACCATGGTATCTGTTCTTAATAGTCCATCAAACTGGCCTGACCTTAACCCCATAGAAAATCTATGGTGTATTGTGAAGAGGAAGATGTGAAACACCAGACCCAACAATTCAGAAGAGCTGAAGGCCACAGAGCAACCTGGGCTCTCAGAACACCTGAGCAGTGATGGACTCCATGCCACGACGCATTGCTGCAGTAATCCAGACAAAAGGAGCAACAACTAAGTACTGATGCTGTACATGCTCATACTGTTCAGTTGGCCAACATTTCTAAAAATACTTTTTTTATTGGTCTTAAATAATATTCTAATTTTATGAGATGCTGAATTTGGAGTTTTCATTAGTTGTCAGTTATAATTATCAACATTAAAAGAAATAAACATTTGAAATACATCAGTCTGTGTGTACTGAATGAATATAATATACAAGTTTCACTTTTTGAGTGGAATTACTGAAATAAATCAACTTTTTCATGATATTCTAATTTGATGACCAGCACCTGTACAATCAGGAAACCAACCTTCTGAGGTGTTCCCAGGTGTTCTCCCAGCTTCTTCAGAGCCGACAGGACACTGCAAGCCAGAAACTCTGTGCTCTCTTCTTCTTCAGGTCTCTTGTGCACAGCATCAACAACAACCTGACTCTCATCCAGCAGCTGCAGACAGGTGACAAAGAAAGAACTCAACCCTGAATACGCGTGAAGAAACATCTGAAAACACGTGACATTAGAGCCAAGAAACAGCTGACCTTGTAGCTCCACTGCTGGAACAGACGGCTTTGAAGATTATGTGCCATGAAGACAATTTTAACTTCCAGCAAACCACTAAATGAGAAAATAAAAAACGTTTATTGCATCTCGTATAGAACACGTTTAGACGTAAACAGATTATTGTGACAAGGAGCGGTTCATCAACAGCAGCATGGAAAAGTAACCATCTTTGAGCAGCCGTGATAAAACATTTAAAGCTGCTGGACTGAAGGCAGTTAAAGATTTATTCATGTATGTTTAGGCCGTGCTGGCAGAGAGGCTCATGGGAAATTGGTCAGCTTCCACTTCGCTTCAGAACTCCTGGATAGATATTAAATCTTGATGAACCCGACTCCTCTAAAACAACGCAGTATGTGGCTTTGAGTCACTGAAACGTTCAGAACAATGGTTTGTAAGATCAATAATCCAGGTGGTAACAACAAAAAAGGTTAAATCGTGTCAGAAATCGTTGCTAGTCAACTTCACTCTCACCTAACCAACAATAACTTTTATGAAGAGTTTCAATCTGGTTTTCGACCCCACCGTAGCACCGAAACGGCTCTAATCACTAATGACCTTCTTCTTGCTGCTGACTCTGCTCTTCTGTCCATCCTCATTCTACTGGATCTAAGTTCTGCCTTCGACACCATCTGTCATTCGATCCTCCTCGACAGATTAACCTCCATTATCATCTCAGGTACTCCGTTAGACTGCTTCAAGTCTCATCTCTCTGACCGCACTCAAATCATTCATCTTGAATCCTTCCGTTCTCAGTCTTCCACCATCTCCACAGGTGTGCCCCAAGGCTCAGTCCTCGGACCCCTCCGCTTCATCATTTACCTTCTTCGTCTAGGTCACATCTACTGCAAATTTGGTGTCATTTCCACTGTTATGCTGATGACTCGTAGCTCTACTTGTCAACCAAACTCCACCCACCCACCCTCCATCCTCACCAACTGTCTCAATGAACTCAATCACTGGTTTTCTAACAGTTTCCTTCAACTAAACAGTGACAAAACAGAAATCATCCTTGTCAGTACCAAAAACTATTTCAAAATCAGAACATCTTCTCGTCCCCATTAACAACTCTCTGCTACCCCCCTCTCCTCAGGTCAAGAGTCTCGTGTCCTCCTCGACACCACTCTCTCCTTCACTTCACACATCAACAATGTCACTCAGTCTGCCTAGTTCCATCTCTGAAATATTAACCGTCTCCGCCCTTCTCTCACACCCGGCTCCACGCCCATCCTTGTGCACAGTCTTGTGACTTCCTGGATCGACTACTGCATCTCCCTTCTTTATGGCCTCACCAACAAATCTCTTCAGAAGCTACAGATGGTCCAGAACTCAGCTGCCCGTGTCATCACTCAAACCTCCTCCTGTAACCACATCACTCCAGTCCTGCAGCAGCTCCACTGGCTCCCAGTTAAATCTCCCATCGTCTTCAAAGTTCTTCTTCTCACTTTCAAAGCTATCCACAACCTTGCCCTCCTTACCTTCTGACCTCACACATCTCCATCTCCTCTTGCTCTCTCAGATCCTCCTCTTCACTACACCTCCATGTACCCTCTGCCCGCCTCTCCACCATGAGGAGCAGGGTCTTCACCTGCTCTGCCCCTCATCTCTGGAACTCTCTACCCCCAGACCTACGAAACACCACCACTCTTTCTCTGTTCAAGACTAATCTGAAAACACATCTCTTTAGACTAATTTATCCTTCTTAACTTTGTTTTATATATTTTATATTCTTTATGTATTTTATATTTCAATTTATTCCTGTTGGTCTTTGCACTGTGTTTGTTTTTACACAATCTTATCTGATATGTTTCTTCCTGTAAAGTGACCTTGGCTGTCCTGAAAGGCACTTTTTAAATAAAATGATAATTATTATTATTATCTGGATCGATTTCTTTAAGTGAGAAACGTTTCATCCCCCATCCAGAGGACTTCCTCAGTATGGGGAAGAAACGTTTCTCACTTAAATAAATTTATCCAGATGATACGATTTAACCTTTTTTGTTCAGAACAATGTGTATTAAATTAAAATTGGTAGGGTTTGTGTTTTCCTTGTCTCTAGCTCCATCTTGTGTTGTGATTATGTCTTGCGTCCTCAGTCTCTGTCCTGCTCCTTTGTGTCTCATTACCTCATTTCCCACACCTGTGAGCCTGACATGTGTTGTGTGGTCCTTATTAGTCTCTGTATTAAAACCTGTGTGTTTGTCTTACCCTTTGTCCTGGCATTGTCTCCTGTGTGCTGGTGATGACCTGTCTGTTCCCTGAGTTCTCTCTGATGGTTCTTGTAAGTTTTGCTGCCCTGTCAGCTCTTTTGTTTTTGTAAAATAAATCCTTTATTTTATACTTATCCTGAGTCCTCGCCTGCCTGCTTCATAGCAGTAGTAGTAGTATTAGTATTAGTAGTAGTAGTAGTAGTAGTATTATTAGCAGTAGTAGTAGTAGTAGTAGTAGTATTAGCAGTAGTAGTAGTAGTAGTAGTGCCTTTCATGTCACTCGAGGGCATTGTAAAATACAATATGTAAAAAACACAAAACGACAAATGAAAAATAACAAAATAAACATAACTTTAATACAGGAGGTTAGTGAATATGCCCATTTGAAGAGAGTTTAGATGCAGGATTGGAGAATGGAGATGGTGGGAGAGGTTTTGATGTCTGTGGGGACAGAGTCCCAGAGGTGGGGCGCTGAGCGACGGAGCCCATCGTGGTCAGACCAGCAGGAAGTTGGGTGAGTTGGGTGGAGGAGCTCTGTGAGGTACTGAGGGCCGAGGTTGTTGAGGGTTTTGAAGGTGAGGAGCAGGACTTCATAAGAAATGTTATCTTCAATGTGGAGCCAGTGAAGATGCTGCAGGACGGGGATTATATGACTGGTGGAAGGGGTTCTGGAGGCGATGTGAGCAGCAGAGTTTTGGACCAGGTGGAGTTCATGGAAGGATTTTGTAGATAAACTAACAAGAAGCTGCAGTAATCCTGACAGGATGTGAACAAAGAGTGAACCAGAGAAGCAGAACTGTTGGGTGAGAGGGACGATGGAGGCAAAAGTAGTCTGAACGATGCGTTGATACGCAGACTCTTAACCTGGTGATGTCAGAGTACATGTTGAGGATGACTCTCAGCTACTATCTCACCAAACTGTAGCTCGGTGTCCGTCATCTAACGTTGATCAGCTGCAGCAACCTTCTTGGATTAGTTTGACTGCAAAAGTCAATGAGCTGTAGATTCATGTCCAATAATTACTTTCCAAGAGTTTTGTTAAAATACAGCCAGTGGTTCACTTCATGAGTTATTTTGCTAACATAGTGTCAGGTCTAACCGTTAATGCTCAAGGTTACCAAGTTCAAAGAATGCTTGGCTTTTAAATATACAGTATGTAGTGACTGCACATGGTAAAAGACAAACTTTAGCTGTAAAATACTTTGTTTGTAATGTACGTAATAAAATGAAGGATACTTGTCTGGCCGTTGTTGCGACGCTTCGAGGTGTTTCAAAACAGAATCCAGAACAACTCCAGACGACTGTAAGAAAACAAACGGCCACCTTCAGGAACAGCAAACACTTTATGTGATTATTTCTCCAGGGCAGAACTTACTTCGATGACGTGCAGCAGGCAGGACGGATAAATCAACAGCAGGCCCGTTATGGGATCCCACACGTGCTGTTTGTTCAACTGAAAGTTGAGTTTTTCGTGATGAGCTGTTGGGAAACGACAAACATCAGTTATTTATCGTGTTCATCGTGAAAAGCAGCTTCTTTTATAAACCCGGAGCTCCAGTCCTTCCTGTGGCTTTCACTGCGGGACTTTATTCAAACATTTGCAGACAAATTCAAGCTGCAACGATAAAAAGCTTTAAGAAAAAATCCTTGCAGACTCATTCACAGAGGAGTGAAAGCTGAAGAAGCACTGAAATAATGGAGAAAATACACTTTTTCAGTTTGCTTTTCTTTTTTGATGGGTTTAAATTCACCGGTAGTTAAAATGTAGCTCAGGAAAAATGATGTTTCTCTGCGTTTTCAACAACAAGCAATAGTGTAATTTGTTCTTTCAGTCAGAACATTGTCGCTTCTCTATTCCACATACAAGAGAACTGAATTAAACGTGCATCAGATGATTAAAGCGTCATTGTTTGTAGCTGGGAGGTAACTGCTGGCTCACCTCCCAGTTCGTTCCTGTCAGGCGGATCATGACGGAGTCGAGCGACCACAATCAGCCGCTGCAGCACGATTTTCTGTACAGAAAAAATAAATTAAAAACTGATTCAGAAGCACGCAGAGTATTAGAATCAGCTTTTCCGTGCACATAACGAGGATCAGAAAGCACAATTTAGGGGTAAATTTCAGTACATGTATTATATTTTACAGGTTGTTTTGTGTCTTTGCCAAAACGGTACATTCAGCAGTTTAATGAAACTTTTGATTTAACTACAACGAAATACAAACCGCATCTTCCCCCATCTTTTTCTTCCTCTGCACCATCAGCTGGTGAAATAAACTAATCCCAGTTTGCTCTTCTTTAATCTCCTCCATCTTATTTGTTGCTGTGTAGTAGTCACGTAGGTACGTGCCACTAGTTGTAGTATGACAATATATGAGATATATATGCATACTTTTTCACGAGTTCCTCATCTTTCTGACTGTGTAATGTCGTGCCTTGAATTTAACAGAAATGTAACGAGAGACGTTATTTATCTTTGACCCATCAAAATGAATGCGGTCATTTATTTTCAGAATCAAAGTTTAACATCAAACATTTACATTAATTTGGCAAAATATGAAAATAATAACAGACAAGTTTCACAGAAAATGAGCATCGATCACTCGGCGGTGATCAAGGACTTTGCTTCAGATATTCCTAAGATATCTGTACTGATTTTATGAGAAAGAGGAGAGTTTTAAGATGAAATGGAGATTTATCTTACAGAGAAATATGTGAGGGAATTAATCTGTTTGACCAGAAATTGCACGCTCCATCAGATATCAGCTTGCCCACGGTACACTTGGTCGAAAATAGAACCATCTACCTTGATGATGAAATCAGCGTCGGCGTAGGTTCCTTTCTGACTCTTTTCAGCGTCTCCGTGAGAACTACCAAACCCTCAGAGAGTCGTACGTGGTTTTCAAACAGAAATTATAATCCCAAAACGTCTCTGGATCATCCTGAATGCGTTTGCACCCAAGAACTCTGAACTCCTTTCATTCTTCAGAACTTCTCAGACTCTTAATTGTCAGCAACTCTGTAGTTCTTCATCTCCTCCGGCTCTCCAGCTTCTGGAATTCTCTGGAATTTTCCCGAATTCTCCCTTGAACTGGGAAGTTGCCACATTTTAAATGAGTTGACTTCCGGGTCAATTTAGAGCTTTCTGATTCGTGGATGTACCAGAAAGAGGTGTGGTTTTTGACGTAAGGTGTTATCGAAAGTCGAGGTCAGAGAATGAGTTTGTTTAACAACTGACAGAGAGATTATTGCAGAAAAGCAGACTTCATGGAGTCAAACTCTTCTGTATCTTCTGTAAAGATTAAACATGACATTTCTTTTTCAGTAAACATTTAGTTGACCGAAGCTTCAACTTTCACATACTTACGTTGCTTGGCTCATTTCAGACAGAAAATCAAGAAATGCATATTAACCTGATTTCTTCTTTGAATGAGGAATAAAAATCATTACTTACTGTTTATGTAAAATAAAAATGAGTAGTTCTTTTCAACCTGTAACATTGAGTGGAACTAACACAATTTGATTATCAAACATTTGTAAAACAGTAATGATTATAGAGAATTGTCTTTTCTGCTTGATTAATTCAAGAAAGAAAGTCACCAGATGGCTCAGACTGTATTCAGATCAATGAAAATAACAGTCTCTGTCCATCTGATAGATTTGAGGTCATCAGGGTCAGATCAGGGTCAGATCAGGTTCACTACAGTTGAACTCGTCTTCCTCCGAGTTGCTCTGGAGCCGTTGTCTCAGCGAGCTGCTTGTTAAGTGTTTGAAAATCTTACAACCAAGGAACCGATTGTTCTTCGGATCCTAAAAGAACAAAGCCTGCTGGTTTTTAGTGTGAACCACCCAGGAGCTAATCCCATTCATGGATAACCTTGTTTTCTGGAGACCAAGGTGAATAAGAGGAGGAGCTCTGATGCATTCAGACAAGAAAGAACACCATTTTCTCTAGTTACAACTAACTGTTTCTAATGATGTCTTAATGAAGAAATATTCTATTTTATGTATAAATTGATGATAATATGGATAACTTCTGCTCTAAAATGCAACCTCCTGCACAAAAAGTCAAGGAAACCTCAGGGACAAGCAACATTTTGTTTCCAGAGGGTGACGCAGTTACTTAAAGGCCAAATATTCATCTTTAAAAAATCTTCTGGATGGATAATTTGAAAGACATTTACAGGCTTTTTCCTCCCGTTTACTATTTGAACATATGCACAGCACAGTTAGCAAGTACGTCAAAAACATTTACTCGTGTTCGTTTGTAAAATGGCACATGTCGTGAGACATTTGTCTTTTTAAAATGTGCAAAATTCAGGGCTATTCTCTCCTTTTTGAAACAGTTTATCTTCAGTGTGGTCATGCCACCACAAACTGCCTAACACGGCAAAAAGAAAATGCAATGATCTAATTTAGTCTGTAATTGTTATATACATCCAAGATATTTATTTAGACTTTGCTTTGTGTCACTTGATATTTCGTTAATAAACTGCAAGTGTTCACAAGCTTTTAACAAACGTTGGGGCCGGATGAGGCTCATTAAGGGCCATTTCTGGCCCTCAGGCCTTAAGTTGTCCCCATAAGGAACAGAATACCACCAGAACTTTGTGTCAGAGGTATTTCTCTGTAAATATTAATTCATAGCTATTTTACACAATCAGAGCATTACAGTTCTTGGAAAGCCATAACAATTTTAAACACTGTCGCCATATTTCTCATTATTTACAACAAAGCTCAGCTATGGTCAAACTTTTTTTGCACAAACCTCCTTCATTTTGCCGTAAACTACATCAAGCATTGTCACTTTCTCTCCTGCTTCCTGCATGTTTCCCCCCTAAGACTTTAACGAAGTACAGTAGGCCGACGGGCTTCTTCTCCAGTATTCTGTTACCATAGCAACACGCTGTGTGGACGTACGCTGACGTCACCGCGTAACGGCGTCAAAGCAGAAAAAACGTTAGCATCAGCGAAGTGAAGCCCAAATTTTACAAGGATACAAAAATTGTTTTAATTTAAATTAAAACAATTTACAAAACAATAAAAAAATGCATAAATAAATCAATCCAATAAATTATATCTATATTCCAACAAAGTAACATGAGCGAAATAAATCCCGAAACGTTTCTGTACGTGTCACCATAGCGACACAATCAGCAGACGCACGCTTGATGACGTCATCACGTCAAGGTGTAAAGTAGTTGTCCGTTTGGGGCAGCAAGACCTTTGATTTGTACTCCAAGTTAGACCAAGATTTTACATTAATTTTCTAAAAAATATATATATATATCAAGCAACATTTCTTACCATTCTTACAAAAAGGTATGTAAAATACTCGAATTAACTTTTTTTCTTCAAAACTTGCAGGTTAGTCTCCATGGAGTCACGAGACCTGTTTTTTTATTTTTTTATTTTTTTTAAACGAGGTACACACAATAATAAACATTCATATTAAAGCATATAAAATGAAAAGTAAATCAAAGAAGTGATATAAAACAAAATAAAAAAAATGCATTGTCGCAAAAAATATATCGCTAACTACGATTTTTAACCTATACCACTGTTTTTACTTATATTTGCAGGATTTTAAGTGTAGCCACGTGACTGTAGATCGCTATCACGCTGACTGGTATGCGTAATGATTGCGCAGCAGTGACGCTTGTGAGGTAAAGAAATGAGAAAATCCATGGTGAAACCTTTATTTCCCTGGTGTTATTGATTTATTTTTAGTCTGTGTGCTGTTCCCCCGCCTCTGTAGCCTCATTATAAATAACCAGAGCAGTTTGGACACATTCTAATCGCATGGGGTCAAATAAAATGGATCTGTCCGATAATAGAGTCATGCATCCAGGGCGCATTCTCCTTTAAATCTCCGCTGAGCTCAGTCACATCTTCACAGCCATGAGCTCCGTGGACTGAGAAACCACCGTTGGAAGCGATGATCAGGTACAATCCGCTTTTATTTTGGGATTAAAAACCAGGCTGGAATCCTCAGGTTGACCAGGCTGTTTGGATGACTGTTTGCACACCCAGTTTTGACAGCTGAGCTCATCATCATCGTTTCTTCCTGCACATCCTGCTTGATGTTAGCTGTCACTACCAAATGTTAAACTCAATACAGTTTCATTATAATAACATTTCGTTTGAGTTTTATTTTGAAATCTTACACTCAATCTTTGGTTGTATTTTTAGTAGATTGCCAGATAATCTGAGCACAGCAGGTTATTTTTATATAAATTATACTTGTTACCTCTTCAACCCATTATTTATTTACTAAATATATACTTATTTGGGTAGATGAATATGTTTTTCACTTTGTCCTAATTTAGTTTGTTTCACGTCCAAACCCTAAATTGTTAGATTAATTCTCAAGTTATTTACCAGTTATTAGGATTATGTTTAGAAAACATACTTTAAGAGTAAAAGTGAATGAGCCAGGTTACACATTCAGTTTGAAATGTAAATTTATTTACCCAAATCAAAGGAAAAAATGTATCTGCTTTTGCGCATTACCGCTGATTATTTTGATTTGATTGTGTTTCTAATAGGAGCTTCTAATTTTAATTTGAGAGTGGAAAGAAGCAGTTAACCCCTTTTTTCAAAGCAAGCCACCTGTTTAATTTGCTTTCTTAATAAAAGGTAAAAAAGATGAGTTTTGTTGAAATGGCATGTATTTATCTCTTCCTCCACCTGACAGGTTATTAATGACATAATGAACAATTAGAATGATTTATTCATTCATTCAGCTTTAAATCACCTTTATGTTGGGTTGATGGATTTAACACATTTAGTTTATTTATTAATGCCAACTTCAAAGTCAAAGTCTCCCTTTGGGTGTAAAAATGTTGTCCAGCGGGTGTGGTCCTGTTGAACAACCTGTTTCACCAAGTTCTTCAGATATTGTTGACAGCTGAGGTTTCTGGTTTGAACGCTGCCTTTGAACGTTTAGTTTAACAGAATCATTAACGCCACAGAAGGTTGTCAGCATTATTACAAATTCATCTATATCATCTGTAGACTTATATTTAGGTCGGACTAAGAAGAAATTAATTTTATGTGGAGTTAGTTGAATAGTAAATCCCGTTTTGTCAGATCTTTGAGCTGTTGAAGGCACGTTTTAGAACAATTAACGCTTTGCAGTCCAGAAACCTTGCTGGGGCGTGTGGGAGTCTGCAGGGAGATCTTTAAATCTGCAGCGCTGAGTTAAAACATTAACGTCCACATTTAAGGTGGTTCGTGTCTTATTTTCAGCTACAGATTACAGATTAGAACTAAAGATGGTTTACTTTGAAAATATGCATTTTAAACTTAAATCTGCCGTAATTAATTTGTTTTTTATTTAATTTCTCTCTCGTTTCTTTCTTCCCGTTTGTAGATTTGTTTGCCATGGAAATGGATATGACACCAAAGTTCTCCTCGAAGGACGAAGAAATTGACTTCTGGAAGGCGCTTTGTCTCAAGTACAAGAAGGGGTGAGTTATTAGTGCACAGACGTGAAGGTTCACGTTCCCCAGGACGTTTAGTGTCATCCTTAACATTCAAACGGCATCGCGGAACACTAAAAAGTAGGGATGCACGATATTATCGGCGTCGTATCGTATCGGCCGATATCGGCGATAAAGTTAAATATCGGACATTGACCATTTCATCAAAATAACTCACCGATATAAAAGTCGCTGATTTTTTTTAATGCATATTATATATTTATATAGTGTTGCATCATTTTCAGCCCCTTTTTGGCATCTGCATTTGGTATCAGGCCAAACTGACAAAGACCATGCAGAATAATTTATTTTAATTCCACAGCAGAGAAAGCTGTGTAGTCTCTGTCAGTAGGTCTAGGGAAAAAATTTTATCGGTTATCGGCCAAATAAGTTTTAACATATCGGCGTATCGATATCGGCCAAAAATCAAATATCGTGCATCCCCACTAAAACGTTTAGGCAATAAAAAAAGACAGTTAAAAACAATAAAATGTGGTAGATTACATGAATAAAGTTAACAGTCTGATTATTTAAAGCACAAGTCAAGATTTATCTTTTTATTCATGTCACAAATTTCAATCCAAGTTTTTAAATTAAATTTAATTTTTTTAATACTTGTATGGTACTGAAGCAAAATAAATCAGGACAGAGTTTTGTGCTGTAGTTCTAAATGAAACGTTTGCACCAAACCAGTTTAAATGAGATGATTGTCAGCTGGGATTTAGTCTCATTCCTGCTCGAACTGGTCTGTCCGCAGCTTTGTTCGCTCTCCTGGAGTCTCCTTGCAGCTTGTCGGGATGTTTCAGAGAATATTCTGCTCCTTGGACAGAACAATGCCCGGAAGAACAAAAAACACGCTTTAGTTTAGTTTAAGGGACGTGTTGATGTCGGAATCACACAAATCTTTACAATCACATGAAACTCCAAGTGACGGCTCGTATATTTATCTTCTAAACGTTGCACGCTGTTTTGAGTTAAACATCAGAATGACACGTCTGAAGCGTAACACCCTGGAGTTGTTGCCTACGTCTAACCAGCATCGTTACTCTGTTTAGTTTCAAACTCCCGTTCGTTCCTCCGGTGGACAGAAGCATCAGTTTAATGTTTCTGCATCAAGGGACCTTAACGAGGATTGAATAGCAACACCGGCCTCTTTGTGCTCGTTCCTCAAACCCGTTACTTTTGGGTCGTTTTTCTAACCGAACCAGTTCAGGCAGATCCGGTGACGAAGGGTCCATTGTCTTCGAAACAGCAGCTCCATTAAACACAAAAGCCTCTTTTATTTTCTCATTTTCAGGGTTTTATGTGTATCGGTTTGTATGTAAAGCCTGTTGAAGTTAACGAAGTTCAACTGAACCTGGAAAATGTCCACACGGCGACTTCCTGTCGAGCCGAGGCCGCCGATTGTTTGTGTGGCCGGTTTTCTTAGTTATTTATTTTATTAATTAAACAGGCGACCGTCTCTCATGTCAAATGAAAGGGAGAAAAGTTTTTCATCTGTTTTAGTTCGTTTCTGCTGCACAGTGGATCAGTGTAAAACTCTTCTGGACACATAAAATCATTTTCTCCACCATAAGTTCTGCTGATCTGAGCAGCTTTTCATTGAAAACCCAGAAACGTATTATTGGCTCTTTAAACGGCAGCTGTCAGGGAAAACACAACACTTTGTGTCTGATCAGCAGCAAGCGTTGCAGCTCGGTTGCTCCGAGTGTTTTGAACGAAGGGAAACGGCTCGAGGCTAAAAGGCCGCGGCCGAGCATCACTGCTGAGTATAAATGGAGTTTCTGGGTTTGTGGCACCAGCAGCTCGTGGTGCTGTTCTGGTCCAGCTGGCTCTGACACGTGACGTCTGTGCTCCTGGGAACTCGTATAAATGTTTGCCAGCGAAGCTTAAATCTTTAAATCACGGACGACTTGGGTCGAGACAACTTTTAGTTTTGTTTGCATCAGTCGTGTGTCGTGAGCCTGAGACGGACCAAAGAGTCGAGGACAATAAAACACGGGGCGCAGTAAAGTCTTTAAAACGTGTCGATGAGCTAAACTTGATGGGTGGTGAAACGAAACATTAACTGAACACTGACACGACAGTCTACTTTGTTTGTAGAGCCCTTTACAGCCAGCAGGTGATCAACGTGCAAAACAAACGGTAAGAACATAAAGGCTGAAAAAAAAAAACATAAAATTTGAAGGTTTGATTTTAAAAGGCCCAGATCAGGGATGGAGCTCAAGTCCTGAGGAAGATGGTCCACGTGCGGCGACTGAAATAAAAATAAACCGAAAAGAGAGAAACATCACCTGAAGACAGTTGAGCAGGTCTGGAGCAGCCATTTTATTTCAACTGCAGAACTTTGAAGGTTCAAGGTTCTTTACAGTCATTCGCATCACGTGGTACATGAGGTGGAACAAAACTGTGTACTTGAGGTCCAGTTACACCCAAAAATATAAAAATATAAAAATAAACGGTAAATAGGGATCTAAGATATACACTAAAAATATAAATAAGGTGTAATAAAAAGCAGCCGAACCTCCTTCCTGAGGGGAGCGGGGCAACAAGTGTGTGTGCTGGGTGGGTGTGGTCCTTCATGATGCAGGTGGCCCTCTTCCTGCACCTGGAGGTGTAGATGTCTGTGATGGTAGGGAGACTGACTCCAACATCTTCTGTGCAGCCTTCACCACTCTCTGCAGATCTTTTCTTTCTGCAGCTGTGCAGCCTCCATGCCACACATTGATGCTGGAGCACAGGATGCTCTCCACTGCACACCTGTAGAAGGAGGTGAGGACTGAGCTTCCCAGACCAGCTCGTCTCAGCCGTCTGAGGAAGTAGAGTCTCTGATGAGCTTTCTTCATCAGGCTGGTGGTGTTGTTGCTCCAGCTGAGGTTGTTGTTCAGGTGCACCCCCAAGTACTTGTAGCTGGAGACCACTTCCACCGCAGATCCTCTTATGTTCAGGGGGGTGTAGGTGTGTTTGTTCCTTCTCAAGTCCACAATCATCTCCTTTGTCTTCTTCACATTGATGTGAAGGTTGTTCTCTTTGCACCAGCTCTCCAGGTGTTCCACCTCCTGCCTGTAGCTGGACTCATCGTTGTTTGTGATGCATCCCACCACCGCTGTATCATCTGCAAACTTTACAATGTGACAGCCTGTGCACAGTCGTATGTGAGCAGAGTGAACAGGAGGGGGCTCAACACACATCCCTGAGGAGAGCCAGTGCTGAGGGTTATGGTGGAGGAGAAGCCGTGGATCCTCACAGAAAGTGATCAGTTTAAGAAGTCCAGGACTCAGTTGCAGAGGGAGGGGCTCAGTCTGAATGTGAGGAGTTCATCATCCAGGGTCTGTTAACTCGAGCGAAGCATCATCGATGAAAAATAAAATAACTATTAAATAAAGTTAAAGTCACTGAGAGCAATAATTGATCTGAAACATAAAACTTATAACTTTAATTCAGATTTATTTGATCCCAGATGTTTCCAGAAAACTTGTTTTTTACACAAACTGTTTGTTTGTGAGGGTTGAATGTGGGTCAGAGCTCGAGCGTCAGGACAAACTCTAAATAAACGTTTCTGTTGATGCATTTCTCTCCGGCTGACCTCCTCCTGTCCCGACTTGTGTGCTCCTCGTGTCCGCCCACAGCTGTGAGGAGGCTCAGGAGGAGCTGCTGGAGTTCCAGGAGGGGAGCAGGGAGCTGGAGGCCGAGCTGGAGGCTCAGCTGGGCCAGGCTGAGCATCGGATCAGAGACCTGCAGTCGGACAACCACAGACTCAAGAACGAGGTGGAAACGCTGAAGGTGAACCGGACGAGACTTTTTTTATTTCCTCATTTTGTGACAGATTTTCTGAATCTCATGTTTTTACTGTTGTTTAAAAAAACAGTCTTAAAAATGTCACGCTGCAATTCGGTTGTTTGTCGGCAAAATCAAAGCTGCACAAACTAAACATCTAAATAATCTAATATTTTAATTTAAATATGGAGGATTAAAGAGAGACCTTCACATTTCTATAAAATAAAGAATTATTGTTCCTGCGGTGATGTGCAGCAGTGAGGAGGAGCTGCTGCGCCTCAGTCGCTATGGAAACAACAAAAATTAAATTTGTTGAAACGTGTTCCTGTAGGAGAATCTGCTGTTTATTAAAAAATATATACTTTATTTTAAATTTGGACTTTCTGTGATTTATCTGATGAAAACTTTTAATTTTATATAAAATATCAATTTACAACAAAAATCATCTCAGACGTTCTCAGAAGCAGCAGATGTGTCGACTCTTCACCTCGTTGCAGCCTCCCAGTCTGAGCAGCAGGTTGGAGACAGTGGGAAGGAAAAACTCCCATTAAACGGGAACAAACCTCAACCAGGGCCAGGAAGAGACGCCATCTTTATCAACTGGTTGGGAAAGAGGACAGGAAGGAGATGCAGAAGGAAACAAAATGGCTGCTCCATGTGTAGTTTATTTGGTCCAGGTGTAGTTTGTTTGGTCCAGGTGTAGTTTATTTGGTCCAGGTGTAGTTTGTTTGGTCCAGGTGTAGTTTATTTGGTCCATGTGTAGTTTGTTTGGTCCAGGTGTAGTTTGTTTGGTCCAGGTGTAGT